CAATCCTCCACTGGAGGTCACCTGTCCTCTTGTCGATCGGACATTTGTACAGGGTACGCCAGCTGCCTTTAGGGGAAGAGTCAGATCCAAAGAACTGTGTCCATCTTGTTGAAGAAACTCCATTCAAAAATTGCATGTTGGAAACTTTAACACATATCAAATAGAGAGATTTCTTTCCAGCAGAATCAAAACCTTCCAAAACTGGTGTTTTCAGAGTCAGTAATCGGCTTTCATCTTCTACCCAGTCTTCCACAGCCGGGCTTACATTAATTAATGGAAAAAGATGACCATACCCCTCAACCCACTCATTTAGGGCGTCTGGGTTCTTCAAAAAAACTTGATAATCTGCGCTCAAGTCCTTGAAAATCCCTGCAATGCACTGTTGTAAAAAACGGACTGATTTCACACCACTTCTTTGACTCAAGTCTTGCAAGTCACTTCTCAGGATATGTCCCAGCTTGTTGCACCCAGCCGCTAACAGTCGTGCTCGCACATTTTCAGATGACAACAGTCTTGAAGATAAAAAGGAGTTAAAAAACAAAGGTTCCTCAAACAACCAATGACCAGCAGGTGTATTAGATGATCTTGATACGATGAAAACCTTCCAGGCCTCCAGCACAGATCTATAAAAGGGGGTGAGATCTGCCATTTCTTTCTCTTGCAATTGCATTAAAAACAAATGTTTGTCAAAGCCCATTCCACCTGCCCTCCTCAAAAGAGATGTTGCAGTGTCCATCCAGGCAGAGTTTTTATTAAACAAGAGTCTTTGGGCTGTCTGCAGCCGAAAAGTCATTATCCTGGACTTAATATCCACCAAGCCCTGCCCGCCTTCTTGTACTGGGAGATACAAAGCCGCTGCTCGAATCCAGTGTTGTCCTGACCAGAAGAAAGTCACCAAACTCCTTTGAATGCTTTGAATTAATCCTGTAGGTGGCTGCAATACACACAGTTTATGCCAAAGAGTAGAAACCACTAGATTATTAGCAACCAAAACTCTTCCCCTGTAGGACAGCTGGGGTAGCAACCATTTCCAGCGAGACAATCGGGTACACACTCTTTCCTCTAAACCCTCCCAATTTAACTTTTGAGACTCACTTTTCCCAAAATGAACACCTAAAATCTTTAATCCCTCTCTTTTCCATGTAAGATCTCCTGGCAACTGTGGAAGATTTTCAACAGAAAACTGCCCTGCCCAAAAAGCCTCACTTTTTTCCCAGTTCACTCTCGCCGATGAGGCCTTCTCATACACATTGATTGCATTAACCAGAGCATTAATGTCTTTTTCATGATTAACAAACACAGTCACATCATCAGCATAAGCACTTACAGTAATACTTGAACTCTGAGATAAACCAGGAGCAATAAAACCAGACAAAGTTTTACGTAATTTAAAAAGAAGAGGCTCAATAGCAATGCTATATAGCTGCCCTGATAAAGGACAACCTTGTCTGATACCCCTTGAGACTGGGATTGGCCGGCTTAACCCACCTCCCACTTTAACAATGCAAGCAGCCCCAGAATACAGCAATTTAACCATGTTTAAGAAAGAATCACCAATACCAAAAGCTTTTAAAACATAAAAAAGATAACCATGATCAACCCGATCAAAGGCTTTCTCTTGATCTAAAGAAATTAAACCAACTTTCAGTTCAAAACTTTTACAAATATCTAAAATATCCCGAATTAAAAACAAATTATCCATTATTGTTCTTTCTGGGATACAATAAGTTTGATCTTTTTGTACAATCAAGTTGAGATATTTTTTAAGTCTATTAGCAAGACATTTTGACATAATTTTGTAATCCGTAGTCAGTAATGCAACAGGCCTCCAGTTTTTTAAAAGAGATAAATCTCCCTTTTTTGGTAATAAAGATAGCACAGCGCGTTGACAAGAGATAGGCAAACAACCATCTTTGCTACATTCACAGAAAACCTCATACAAATCTTCTCCAATATAGTTCCAGAAACGCTTGTAAAATTCAGACGGCAACCCATCAATACCAGGAGATCGTCCAATACCAAGCTGACCAACTGCAGTCGTGAGTTCTTGAAGAGATAGTTCAGTGTCCAAGGCAGTCTTAGAGTCTGAGTCTATTTGAGGCAAGTCTTGAATTAGCTGCTCGGCACAGTCAGTATCACATTGTTCAGCAGCATAAAGAGTGGAATAAAAAGTCACTGCATGATGCCTCATCTCCGTAATATTACTGGTCACCCTCCCATCAGGAAGGCGAAGACATGACATCTGTTTCTGTTGTGCCACTTTGTGCTCCAAATTAAAAAAATAAGCACTAGGAGCATCCATGTCATTAACAGAGACAAAACGAGACCTTACAAGAGCTCCCTTCACCCTTTCATTCAAAAACAACCCCAGTTCTCTTTTTTTTTCTTGCAGGTTGTTAAACAGATTAGGATCATATCTATGAATTAGATCCATCTCCATATTTGATATGTCCTTTTCAATTGACTGAATATTTTCTCTCAATTTAATAGTGGAATTAGCAGTATGTTGCAAACAAAACAATTTAATGTTTGTTTTCCCTATTTCCCACCACTGTTTTAAATTTTCAAAAGTGCCTTTACACAATCTCCACTGTTGCCAAAAAGTCTCAAAATGTTTGCAAAAATTAAGATCTTGAAGCAATTTAGTGTTAAAATGCCAATAAGAAGACCTCTTTGTACTCTTGGACATATTTATAGTAAGAGAAACCAAATGATGATCTGTGTACCCTACTGGAATAATACAACAATCAATACTCCGACTACTAAGATGATTGGACATATAGATCCTGTCCAATCGAGCAGCGCTGACTCTGTTATCTGTCATTTTAATCCAAGTATATTGTCTCACTTGTGGATGTTTGATCCGCCACATATCTAAAAGATCTATTTCTCGAATTATTTTTGATAATTGAGATGAAGACTGAAGATGAGGTTCTTCACTTGTGCGATCAATAGTAAAATTCTCAGTACAGTTCCAATCACCTCCCATGATTATATTTCCATCTGCACATAACATTAGAGCATTTCTTAACATACTGAAAAAAATGTTCCGTTCATGTCCCACATTAGGTGCATATGCATTTACAAAGTAAAAAAGAACTCCATCAATATCAGCTTTTACTACTACTAATCTTCCATTTACAGGTTCCTCTTTTTTTAAAACATTAACTCTTAAATCTGGAGAGAATAAGATTGCCAGCCCAGCACTCACATTTGTTTTATGGCTAAGTATATATTGCCCTTTCCACCATAATCCCCACTCAAATTCATTAGCAATATCGCTATGTGTTTCTTGAAGGAAAATAACATTTAATTGTTTCTGCTCTATTGTTTCAAATACAAGAGCACGCTTACATTCATCCCTTCCACCATTAATATTAAGTGAGCCAACCCTCAATACTTCCATTAAAAAAACTGGAAGAAAAAGCAGACAGGCAGAAAAGAGCAGAAAAATAGAAAAAGACACCATGTGAAGCTTAAAAAAACAACAATTACAACAGTACTTCTGACATTCTCTTTTTCTCTATTTTCCGAGCCTTTCTAACAGTGGTTAAGTGCTTCTTTAGACGAAACCTCTTCTTTTCACTCAGGAGATCAACCCCCACAGTCTTCTGAAGAAATGTAACTGACTTAACAAATTTCTCTACATCAGGAAAGAATTCCTTGACATCAACCTGCTTTCCAAAAGTATTATCCAGAAACTGATCAATTTCCTCTAAAGTATATAAAGAGAGTTCCTTCTGGGGATCTTGAGAGCTCTCCTCAAACCCATACTGTGAGCAGGAGTCCATATCCACCACAGAAGCAGACTCATCTGACAGATCATCCTCAACTGCTGTCACTGAACCTGTTCGACTCTTCTCTGCATCACACACATACTGAGCAGAACTAGTACTTGGCAATACATTCTCGTCACATTTATTGTCCTGTTCAACAACTAAGTGTTCTTTACTCTTAACCACATCATCACCAGTATATGAACTTGTTGCCGCTACCACTGGTATCTCTGAGGTATTCACCGCTACATTTAAAGCCACGTTCACCTCTGACTGCCTTACCTCCGTGAGGCCTGAAATCTCCTCCGGACCTGTTTGTATTGATGAAGCCTGAGCATCATTCTCTACCACTGGGCCGATGTTTTCCTGTCCACGATCTTTATGCGGGCACATCTGCCGTTTATGGCCGACATCACCGCATTCAAAACAACGCAAGCTTCCGGTAGTTGCATAAATCATATATGCTCCCCCTTCATGTTTTATGCGAAAAGAAACGTTAAGTGAGCGATCTGGTGATTCTAAAAACATGTAAACCTGTCTCCTAAAAGACATAACATGCTTCAATGACGGGTTCTTACACCCCAGAGAAATCGCTCTGAAAGGACTCGCAATCTTTCCAAACCGCACTAACTCACGCTCTAATACATCATCAGAGATGAACGGCGGAATATTCGATATCACTACCCTACTCGATGCATTATGCAGCGGTGTAACTTGCACTAATTCATCTTTAATGATAAGCCCACTTTCAATCACTTGATTTACAAGTTGTTGTTGTTTCAAAAAAACGACTACAGCTCTATTCATTCTAGAAGCAGAAGAAATATTATCATGCCCTACCTTCTCTCCTACCGCAACTAAAACATCCTCCACCGTTACTCCGTCCTCCGGCATACACCTGAAGCCATTGCGCAGAGAGATAGATGGCGTCTCCGCATGGAACGCCATCTTCCTCTTACACGACTCCCACTTTTCCAACAACAAAAAATAACTAATACCAAACCATACAAAAATAAAAAAAAGAAGAAAAAAGATTGAAAAAAAAACAAACAAACAAAAAAAAGTGAAACTTTCACAGCTTCACTCCCGCCCAGCACTACTCTCACCCACAACCTCCCAACACGCACCACGTGAGAGAGAGAGAGAGAGAGAGAGAGTGTGTGTGTGTGTGTGTGTGTGTGTGTGTGTGTGTGTGTGTGTGTGTGTGTGTGTGTGTGTGTGTGAGAGAGAGAGAGGCACCAGCAGCGCTACGATGTTTCAGCGTGTTTTAAACCGTCTGTGTTTGTAACGACAGAATCATGTGAGGAACTGCACAAACTTCACCGCGGGAAACTTCACACACACGAGGATATTCACTTTAGTTTGGAGGAGATTCTGAGACGACAGGTTTAACGTGCAAACAAACCCGCGGAACTTACATTTGTGTCGCTGAAGGTTTCAGAGCTGTGCCAGAACCAAACCTATCAGAGTCACGAAGTTTTAAAGCGCTGCTGGATTCACAGTAACATTGACGATACTCAACGCTCTTAACATTTTCAAGTGAATTCTGAAGTATGTTCAAGAACATTTTAAGTGTTTTGGGGGATATTTGTTGCAACTTTCAAGTGGAGGACAAACCGTAAAGCCATCGACGGAGTGACACCTTCATTTTATCATCACAGTCAAGTGCCTCAAAAAGGTAACAGACAAACACACATGCATATTGAAGTAGACATATTGCAATCGTTTGAGCCAGCAGATGTTATCCTGTCAACATGCATAATTCAAATATAAAGGCTGCCATTCATATGTTGGAGCTTTCTGTTTGAATAATGATGCTCTTATCTTGCGTCTGAAGATGTTGCAGGTTTTTATTCTTCATGGCTGCTGTATTTGTGTTTAAAAGAGACCGCACGTGAGGTTCAGTGTTTCTCATGAGAACAATGACCAGCACACAGTCTCTCTGACCACAGCAGAACATGCTGGATATCAGTCCAGTCCAACACTGACACCTTATTCAGAGCTCTTCATTAAACTGCATGAGAGATTGCTTAAAGCTTAAGAAATCTACTGCAGTATACACAAGACGAAACTGCTTTTTATTAGTATTATTAGTTGGCCTATTGTATTTAAAATGGCATTTTGGATGTTCAAGTGGCTTTCCATAAAATTGGCACCTTGTTCAACTCAAATTTATTTACAGACATTTAGAAATTAAAAATGTTATATATAGAACTAATGTTTTATATATGTATATATATATATATATATATATATATATATATATATTATTTATATGTGTGTGTGTGTGTGTGTGTGTACTGTATATATATATGTATTTATTAATATTATTCTAATATATTAAAATTATATTATTTTAATGTCTAAAAAATATTTATTTATTTATTAAACTCTTGGTTTCACATATTATATATATATATATATATATATATATATATATAATTTAGAGATTTGTTTAAATTTCATTTAGAGATTTGTGTTTTTTTCAGCTGGTGAAACCAATGTGAAACAAACCAAGTTTAATAATAAATAAATAAATATGTATTTAAAAAATATCACCATATATATATATATATATATAGTAAAAGTAAAATTAAGAGACATAAGGTATAAGAATATTATTGTAATATTTAATATAACACATATTTTAGTATTAAAATATGAAAAAGTGGAAAAATACTGAAAAAGACACAAATCTCTGAATTAAAGTTAAAATTTTGTGTTATTTTCATGCCTTGTTTTTATTTTAACCATACTTGAATCGTTATGGAGCACATTGTGATTTTCAGTGAGATTTGGTTATGTCATTTATGATTTATTAGAACCTATATTATTTGCCTCCTGCTGGTATTTCAGGGTGGCCTTCTAGCCTATATTTGAACTTTAATGGCTTGATACGCAATCTTATCGGTTTGCTGTGGCTTCCTGCACCTGATCGGCCATTTACATGTCAAAAGATAAGAGAGCTGTATTTCAGAGAAGAGAAAGCGTCCTGAGCTGTGTAAATATAAATGTCTTTACAGTTGTTTGCCAAACATATGCTTGCGGAAGCTTACTAAAGCTGTTTAACCAGTCTTGCTTGGATTAGTTTGTGGGATACTTTGGCCATTGGGTCATGCCTTCCATTGTCAAAATGAATAGCTTAACCTGGACTAGAGTGACTGGAGAGCATCAATGTCAGTCTGGCTTCAGCGCTGAGATTTACTGACTTACCTTCTGCTCATGGTCTCAGACTCTCATGTTGACTCTCATACTGTGTTTATGCAGATATTATTGACCCACATTAGACAGTGTTTTGATTCACAGCTGCTGTAAGATTAAAGGTCACAGGGGAAACAAATGGGTCATCAGGGTTATCTTGATAGCTTTAAGCATTTTATTGTCCTGTTTCTATGTTAGTGTACAGGTATTATATTCTTGAGATAATAATTGGAGGTGTTTGTTAAAGCAAGTATCATTATACTTAGTATCATATATAGTAAATAGTATCATATATTTTTCAGTGACCCCGATTCTTGAACCATTTTTCCCATTGGGCTTTTTAAAAATTCTCTATTAAAGAGGTATAAGCCATGAACCAAACCAACCAGCTATGAGGTGATTCACTACATTAGGACCTATGATTTGAAGCAAATAAATATTTGAAAATCATACATAAAGACAAAGATACAAGTCGGAGTACCTAATGGCTTTAAATGAGGGCTTTAATGATGGGCTTCAATCCCATGACAGTCTAATTAAAAATTATGGAGAATGTATTTAAACGCATTTAAAAATGTATTTAAAGAAGTTGATTAAATGTCTAGTTCAGTCAGAACGCACAGGTTGATTTGCTTTACATGTAATCTGCAAGCAATCACATCATTACCACAGCTGATTGGCCTCTGCTGATTCTGCAGCCAATCAAATTGTTTGCTCAACATTTAAATAGTCTGATGGTTCATTGTTGTTCGATTCTCTGATTGGTGGAGATTTCTCTGCAGAATCATAGATGATTTAGTTTCTCACCAGAATTCATGCTGTTAAACACGATTCTACGGAGCCCCCCTAGTCCCACTTTGGCAAAAAAAATTATTATAACTATCTCGTGGCCTCAAGATTCGTGGCCTCAAGATAGTATCTCGTGGCCTCAAGATAGTATCTCGTGGCCTCAAGATACTATCTCGTGGCCTCAAGATAGAGATACTATCTTGAGGCCACGAGTTACTATCTTGAGGCCACGAGATACTATCTTGAGGCCACGAGTTACTATCTTGAGGCCACGAGATAGTTATAATACATTTTTTTGACAAAGTGGGACTAGGGGGGCTCCGTACGATTCATTTAAAAACAAAAGTTAAAATTTTGTTGGTTGATGGCTTCAACAAAAGCATATACCATTGTTATACTGTATGCATAACAACCTTGTAGCTCACAGTAGGTCTGTCTTGAAAGATTTCATATAAATAATTCAAAATCAATTCCCATATGGATAAAATTAAAGGGATAGTTCACCCAAAAATTTAAATTCTGTCATTAATTACTCACCCTCATGTCATTCAAAACCCATAAGACTTTTGTTCATCTTCGGAACACAAATGAAGATATTTTATTATTATTATTCACTGCAACGCAACGTAACGACCACTTTCAAGGACCAAAAAGGTAGTAAAGACCTTGTTAAATAGTCCATGTGACTACAGTGGTTCAACCCTTATGTTATGAAGCGACGAGAATACTTTTTCTGAACAGCATCAGAGACTGACACAGAAGAGAAGAAATTGTAAAGCTAGTTATTTTTGTTTTGTTTTCGGTTTTCACACACAAAAAGTATCCTCGTCGCTTCATAACACGGGTCTTACGGGTCAGTAATAACGACAGAATTTTCATTTTTGGGTGAACTATCCCTTTAAAGGATTAGTTCACCTCAAAATGAAAATTTCCTGAGAATTTACTCACCCAAATGCCATCCAAGATGTTCATGTCTTTCTTTCTTCAGTGGAAAAGAAATTAAGTTTGAGGAAAACATTTCAGGATTTTTCTCCACACAATGGACTTCAAGCTCCACCAACATGTTGAAGTCCAAATCAATGCAGTTTCAAAGGGCTTTGAAGAGCTTCACACGACTCTGCACGATCCCAGCTGAGGAATAGGGTCTTATCTAGCGAAACGATCGGTCATTTAAATTAAAAAAAAATATATATATATACTTTTTAACCACAATTGTTCGTCTTGTGCTGGTCAGCGACGCGCCAGCACTGTAAAAAATGATCGTGATTTTAACGGTAAAAGACTGTAAAAATGCTATAGTGCAAAACTGTTAATTGGTTAACAGAAAGTTTCCTTACTATATACGGTAAATAACTGTGATAGATCTAACGGTACATTTAATGTAATTTTACAGTAAAATACCGTAAAGTTTTTGAAAGTGAAAAGTACAACTCATTGTATAATTTACAGTGAAAAACTGTAAATTGACTTTCCCACAATTCCCTGCATGACACTTCACATTTGATTTATTTTTGTTGAAATAACTGTTTCTTCTTAGTTTTCTTAGTTCTTTTCTAATCAGTTATGTACATTAGGGTTTTATGTTACATTTAATGTTGTTAAATTAATGTTTATTGCATTTTTAAAATTTCATGTGTTACCATGATGCTGTTTAATGTTTGTGTGAATGACACTGTGCAGCTTCAACATAATAGTATTAACTTTCTTGTGGAAGATTGCTTGTGAAGAGCTTTGATTTATCATGTGACTCTCATCACTGCTGTGATGATTGTTAGTTGTCAGTGTATTACAATGGTACAAAACAGATATTAATACTTCGATAGGTTGGTAAATGATCATTATGTCAGATAATGAATTACGGTTTATTACTGTAAATTTTAAGTCAAGTCTGTAAAACCAAAAACGTTGATACCGTATTTTTGACGGTAAAGTTCTGGTAACCACAGCTGCCAGTTTTTTTCCGTAAAAACAACGGGATTTTTTTTACAGTAAGGGATTACGTCATCACGTTGGAAACGTGTTGGTTGCATCTGAAGTCCATTGTGTGGAGAAAAATCCTGAAATGTTTTCCTCAAACTTAATTTCTTTTCCACTGAAGAAAGAAAGACTTGAACATCTTGGATGGCATTTGCGTGAGTAAATTAACAGGAAATTTTCATTTTGAGGTGAACTAATTCTTTCATGGGACTTTTACTTCTGGAACCCGATTGTTTCATTCTATTACTGATCCTCATACTTAAGAGCATGGACCAGTATGCAACTCAGAATACCCTAGCAACGCCCTGGCAACAGTGTAGCAACTAAGAATCATGGCACTCTTAAATGGCCAAACTCCACTTATAAATGGTTGCATCATTCCATGTCCATCTGTAGGTTTTCTTACTTTGTCTAATTTATTCTGTACTTTGTCAAATTCATTAATTTTAGTAAATTTCACTCTAAATAAATCATATCTTTTTCCCTATTTTCATCAATAGTATGTTTTAGAAACTTCTAATGCATGCTGTACATGTCTTTGCTATAATTGACCCCTCATCAACTAGTTTTCTTTTAGTACCAAACCAGATTACAGGCTTTTAGAACTAAAAGCAAAAGAATAGCTTGGAAGAAGATTATGTTCGTTACAGCTACTACAATCTATAAATGGAAGTATTGTGAGGCGGCTCAGGCTAATGCTGAGATCATGCC